TATTGAATAACATCTGCATATAAGTAGAACTGTATATTTCAAACCTAGGTTGTTTCAGGGTCTACTGTACTTTAAAATGGCATGACAGAAAAGTTGCTTGTAGTTTCTCAATCTATATAACATAAGAGGGTTGAAAGATTTCCAAGTGTTTTCCAACCCAAATAACTGTGAGTTTACAATGGCATAGTCTAAGTATTAATTATTTTGCTCCTGTAAAACAATCCTAGGAAATCATTAATAGTAAGGCATACTTTATTTTTTTAAAAGGGTAATTTACTTTTAAGAGGGAGTTTAGTTTCATAGCTATTTACTCATATCTTAAGCATAGGAAAATACACCCAAAGGCATTCATGTTTATACAAGTGTCCCTCTTATAAGCTGTTTTCTCCTTGATAGAGAAATTCTAGTAATTCCATGGTGATAACAGTTGTATAAAAAGGATACAAGTAAAATGTCAACAAGTCAGAATTACCAAGTTCGTCTGCAGACAAGGAATGGGCAGAACATAATTGTGAAGATATTTTATTTACTAAATAGCCTTAATAAATTGGAAACTTTTCAAGGAATTCTTAGAGAATGAACAAACATACATTTAACATACTGAAACTTCAAAAGATAATTAAACTCCTACTTTTCTTGAAACAAGCCTAAGCAAATATATTATTCACTCATAACATAACACTTTCATTCAGGATTCCCATGAATCCACATGAAGACTCGGCTCTATGGCTGCATCAAATAATGTACCATGTTTCTTCTACCCTGTTAGTGATTACATTTTCCTAGAGAAAAATCATATTTTATTTTCTTTTTATGATATATATTACTGAGAGCTTTAAAAAGAGAACATTAGAAAGCTCTCCTTGAAATGTTTATTGAGCTGCATGGATTTTTCTGTTGCTTTTTTCAAAGCAGCAATTAAATATGCTAACAGTAATAATTTAGCATATTTAGGCACCATATGTATTCACTGAAATGCCATGAGTTTTAGTTTCCAGAATCAGTACTTGAATTTGAATTATCATTGACCCTTAAACAAGTGGAGGACTAGGGGCACCCCCCAGCTGAAATTCTGCAATATAACTTCTGACTCCCCCAAAATATAATAGCCTAATGTTGACTGGAAGGCTTACTGATAACATAAAAATAGATTAACACACATTTTGTATGCTATACATATTATACACTGCATTCTTACAGTAAGGTAAGCTAAAGAAAAGTAATTTTTTTTCAAATTGTCACAAACCTCCAAAACATTTTCCAATGTATTTATTGAATAACATCTGCATATAAGTAGAACTGTATATTTCAAACCTAGGTTGTTTCAGGGTCTACTGTACTTTTGTGGCTATGCTAATTTAATCCCTAGGGACAACACTGGTAGCACTCATCATTATCTCTGTAATGACAGGGTGTGGGGATCAGCTGTGGTATAAGGGTTCCTTCAAACACAGGAGGAATTACTTGAGTGGAGTAGTGAGGTGTGACTTCCGCAGTATCTTGCCTAGCACCTAACACCATGGTTTTTAAACAGTAGATTCTTCCTAAACTCTTCTTGAATATATGGAGCTCAAATCTCCTTATCTTAGTTACATGTCAATGTTTTCATATATAGATCTGTTTGTGTGTCCCCAAGGTAAAATTTAATATTCTGAAAACATTTAATTCTGACTCATGTTTTGGTTATCTTATTTATTATTCAGCAAATTCCTGGTAACCAAATTATCACAAATGTTAGTGGGCTCTATAAAACTAGTTAGGTTAAATACAGCAAAACAAGCCAATGGAAATAAAGAAAAGTGAATTTTTAAAGAGACAAAAGAATTTCTCATCCAATTACAAGGTATGTTCTAGAAGTGTAGAGACTTAGTCTAACTTGTTCACTGCTGTAGGCCTAGTTTCTAGAAGTGTCTGGCACATAGTAAATCCTCAACAAATATTGGGTGATTGAATAGGGTGTTGCTAAACATGCTATTATTTTATCTACCTTTACATATATTTAGTTCAGAATATAAAACAGGATTCATTTGCAGAGGGTAGAAGCTCTAGTATAAATTCTTACTAAAGTCTGGGTCCAGCAAAGGCTCCAGATTTGGGATTACCTGTTGTAAAATAGGAGTAAATTTACATCCCAGACACTGACTGGCTGATCAAGCCTGGGCCTGGGATACATCAAGTGCAGGTAAACAAGAATTGTAAGTCATCATCCCTGGGCATGTAGGCTGTGCCAGTGCCCGCAATAACAAGTCAGCTTTTCTGGCAAATCCATCAAAATAAAATCCTGAACTTTTGGAAAAAACGAGTATGTTTATTATACTGCTTCAAATTTACAGGCTTAACTATCTGTGGGAAGGGCCTATAATTATGATCAATTACTTATGACTTCAAGGCACTTAGAAGGGCAGCTGCCCTTTTAAGAAACCTTTTAAGAACCAACCACAGGATTGTAAACTGATTTTGTGGTGCAAATAAATCACAGGTTTGGGGGACCCAAATTTGACAACTCTCTCTTGGAAGAAAACGAATTGTTATCACCTGTCTTTAATGTCCTGACTCTGCCTGAACAAATATCAGCAATCTCTAAAATCCAGAATTCCTAGTCTAGCTTAGTTCATGATATGGGGGCAAATGATTACCCCAAGGCAGAGGTAGAAAGGAAGAATCAGGAAGGAAACAAAATGGAGCAGAGATCTGTAGCTCGTGAGAATGACATTATCAATAATTTTCTCAAGTGTCACTGATTTTCATGGCATACCACTGGTGGTCTTTTCTGACAAAGTACAGGCTAATTATATTCAAGTAGTTTCTTCGTTCCAGAGCCTATACTGGCTGGGTTGGAGTATGATTGTTCTACCGAAAAGGTGAAACCGATGCCTTGCTGCAAACTTGCTCTGCAGCAAGGGCCCCACTAATCAGCCTGACCACAAATAATATTTGGACATTTGAAGCATTTTTAAATTTATGAAGTGCTCTCATATACAGCATCTGTTTCTCCTTACAGCTCTTAAGAGGTAGGTTCATCATTACCACTTAACGTAAAAATAATTATAAAAAATGATTCCTTTGTCTTCAATTCATAAGTATAGTCTCCTGAAGTTTCTCAGTAGACTCCAAGTCATGGGTCAGTTAAGTCTCTAAAGACACACCAATTTCAAGAGGAAAAATCAAGAGAGTAAGTGGATTAGCAAAATCTACCAGCAAAGACAGCCTACCTGTGTTATAAGAAGAGACAGTGCTTAGTAAAGGACAGTGTTATACAGAAGTACCTCTATAACACAAATACATTAGAAGGACATTATTTTATTTATTTACATAATAATCACCCTTATTCAGACACTCTCCATAGACAACACACAAAATAAAACAAGAACTTTGGTCCTAAAATTCTAGTGGTGGAATTAATTCTTCCTTTGGGAAGTGGCAGGTGATTCCTCTGGAAAGATAACTAAATTATAGGGGACAATATTATGCACCCTCCCCTTTTCCCTCCAATATCACAGACACAAAAGGTAATCTGTATAGATAATCCCATCTTTCTACAAGACTCTCTCATGCTCATTTTCCTAGTTGCATTATCTTTTGTGTCCCTCTCCATCAAATGGTATCCTATCTTTATGGTCATTTACTACCTTTCTTATGTATTTATGATGCTTTGCTGCCTTCAAGCCTGAGTTTAATAGTGTCAGGAACAAAACTCCACACAAATCATGCAGTCCTAGGTTAGGGAAGATAAATTAAAACCTCCCAGGAAGATTCTGTAGAAACTTGGGCTCCCTGAGTCTGTAGAGGGTTTGGTATTTTAAAGGTCAGTCTTGGGTCTCTCCACTTTGATGACTAATGTTAAATTGTTTGACTTTTTACAAAAATGTTTAGTTGTGCTTATTTACATAATTTCATTGACAGTGCACACAGTAGGCATCTATTTGTTGAACAGAATCCCCAGATGGACGGGAAGACAGGAAGAAGACCCCAAGACCTCCTTTTTCCAACACATTAATTGTTGAGAAAGATAAAATCACACCCTAATTTGTAGAAGTTCTGTGCATTTTTCCGACTTAAAACTATTCATCTCTGTTTACAAAAGGATGACACACCACACAATGTCAATCACACCGTGGGGAAATTCCAGGATCACTAAGAAAACACCATCATCCTAAGTCACACACATTCTGTTTAATACTGGTTATAGCACAGGACAGGCTTTAAGAACTGTTGTCTCCTCGTCACTCACACAAACAGTATATGAGCAGAACATTAAAACCTAAAGATTCCACATCTTAGACTCACAACAAAACCTTTGGAAAGTAGTCTAAGGACTATGCTGGCCCAGACACATAAAGTGATACAAATCAAAAGGCAACATTTTTGAAGAAATTTTTAAATGCCACTGTTTGAAAGGGCATCAGCACTGATGTCCTTAGACTAGACCATCAAGAATCCTCCCTTAACATTATGCAACTTAATAAAGAGAAACTGTGGGTGTGATTAGCAAAAATTTGAGTTTCTGCATTTTTTAACGGTATTAATACCAGGCTCCACCAGTGAATTTCTCTTCCTACTAATTATCACCGCTTCCTGCACCTTTTCACTTATTCTCAGCCTCAAAAACTCCCCAATGTCCAGGGAAAATATGGGGGTGAGGGGTGGGGGGTGGCAGGACGTGTCTCAGGTTGGCTGGTTCTGCCCCTAAAAGGCACCCAACTTTCCTAACACCCTTTTCAGGACTGGCAGGGAGAAAACTCTTGTAACTTGCACAGTGGCGACGAAGCCTGCGCAGGTCGCATTTCCTGACTTGTCTTTCTGCTCGCAGTCTGGCAAGGTCACCGACTCTGGCTCCTGGTTCTGTTGACAAAACTTAACTCTCACTCTGTAAGATCAACGGGTCGTACCGCGTTTCCCAAGCCGCCCTCCGGCCCGGTACCTTCCTGGGCCGGATGATCCCGCGTCCGACCGTCCCCCGGGCGTGGCCCCAGACGGCGCGGGCGCAGCTCTCCGCTCACCTGACCACGTTGGGGTGCTCGAAGGTCTCCAGGTGCCTCAGCACCGCCACCTCGCGGATGGTGGAGAGCGGCATGCCCTCCTCGCCCGTCTGCACCCGCACGCGCTTCAGCGCCACGAAACGGCCTCCGTTCTTCAGGTCCCGGGCCTTGAACACCTTCCCATACGCGCCCTCGCCGATCTCCGCCACGCACTCGTACTGCTGGTCGGCGCGGCTCAGGCTGTCCTTCTCCATGCCGCCCGGACACCGTCCGGCTCGGCGCCGCTGGGGCGAGCGGGGGGCGCGCTCGACTCGTTGGCGGCCGCCGCTCGCCTCCTCCGGGACTCTCCGAACCGCTCCCTCGAGCCGCGGAGCTCGGTCTCGCTCTCCCTCAGCCCCGCCGACTGCCGCGCTCCGGCGCTCGCGCTCTCGCGGCCGCCGGGGCTGGATGGAGCGACCTCCCCGCGGGCGGGCGCAACCCTGGTGCCGTCGCGAAACTCCGCCTGCCGAGTCGCTGAAGAGCGAGCCGATCCCTCCTCTTCCCTCCCCGAAGCGCAGCCCGATTACATAGGCTCTGCCCGAGCGCGTCTCAGTCCACAATCATTCCACCTGAAAGAGGAGACGGGAGGACAAGAAAGTGCCATCAAACATCCTAGGCGCCTTCCTCCGGGTTCCCGCGGACTCCCCTCCTCCTCCTGCTGCAGGAAGCCCCCTCGCTACCCTCCGCGCGCTCCTGCCCTCTCCCAGGCCGCTTAATCCTTCCTGGTTCCTCCGAGAAAAGCGAAGTTACTTTTCTTTCCTCTGTAGGGCCGGAGCCGTCTTCGCGCGGAGAGGCTGCAGGGGCCCCTCGGGGATGAGCGCGCCGCGCGGGACACAGTGGAACGGGAGGGGGCGTGCCGAGAGCGCGGGGGATGGGAGGCGCCGGGCACGTCAATGTCACGGCTTAATATTTATCCCTACATCATTGTGTTGGGCTGCTACCACCCGCCCCTCCCCGGGCCTGGGCGTGCTGTGAGAGGGGCTCCCGGGAGAGCCGTGGGGCGTTAAGGGGTCGTGCAGTGGCTGTGGATCCAACCGAGTGGGGCCGTACAACGTGGGTGGGGGCTCCCAGGACCCTGTAACCCGATGCTGGGAGTGTGCGAGAAGGGATGGTCAGACATCTGCTCTAAAACTGCTTCCTTTCTACTTTCAGTTTTTCTACGAGAAGACATTTAAAAATGACTTGCACACACAAATGGTCTTTTTAGGGTAAAGGAGTCTGGGTTGGAAACGGAATTCTTTCTCCGATTCAGAGGACCTCCCTGGTGGACAACCATCAGGTTGGGAGCGGCTGGGGCTCTCGCTACTCGCGGTTGGGTGGGCGATGGGGCCTTGGCCGGGGGAGTCACCCACCGGATCCTAAGGGTGGGAGAAAGGGGTGCTCGCCACACTTTGGCTTGTCTCCTTAAAGAATAAGGAGTAAGGTGGCCCTGAAATTTTCAACAGATTTCAACCTAAGCAAAACTTAACCTCCTCTTTAAAAGGGTGGGGGTGGGGAGAATGAATGCTGAGCCTCCAGGGGTCCAAGAGAAGTGCTGCGCCTTCGGGGCCAGGATTAGCGAACCTTTTCCCACTCCCAGGATCGACAGCATGTAGGTGGCTGCTCCATTCCCCTTATGGCTTAAGGCCTGGTCCCATCTGCAGCCAGTCATTCCTACCCACCCGACCCCCACCCCTCCGGAGCCTTCCACACGACAAACTGCAGGAGTGGGACGGGACGGGTCTGGGGGAAGGTAGGTGGACACTTTTCCTCCTCATTCAGTTGCAATTCAGGACTTAGGGAACCTCTCCAACCCATGGCCGCCGCGGCCTCAGCTGGACACTAGCCACGCCGACTGCGTGTCCGGAATTCCCGGGGTACCTCGGAATTACCTGCCCGGCAACCGCTGGCCCGCTCGCCTTCTGCCAGGAATTAAAGAAACAAATGGCGCGACCCCCACAGTGTGCGGTTGGCGGAGACCGCAGCGAGGACAGAGTTCCTCACATTCACTCCATTCAAAATTCTCCTTAAAAGGTTAAGACGATTCCTTGAGGAGCGGAGGAACGAGCCCCCGGAGCCTGCACTGGGGTCTGATGCAGGCCGAGGGCCACACAGGTAGTCGGGGCGCCGCCGCCGGCTGCACAGCCCGTCCCTCCCCGCCCGAGTCCAGCCGGAGGCTCTGCAGCGAAGACAGCGTCGCGGACGTCCCACCCCCGCAGGGAACTGCGCCCGCTGCGCCCGCGCCGGCTCCCCCCGCTGCCCGGGCTGTCGGCCCCGGCGAAGAGAAGCGGGAGCAGCCATGCCCCCCCACTTTGTTGTTGTGGATGTTGCTTTCCCACGCTGGCTGAATGTGACTTGACCCCATTTCAAAAAAGTTTGACATAGTGCTTCAACATTTCCGCATTCCTCCGCGACTACAAAGACTGCAGCCGCCTCCTTCTGCTTTCTGTCTCTGCTCTCTGTCTTCACACTCAATGAAATCCTTCATGTGCCTCTCCCGAAGCCTGCCAAGCACCGCAGGGTCGCCACCGGCGCAGCGACGAGAGGCCCCACGGGGACCACGACTCCCGGGTGTGCGCACACGCAAATGCGCCCACGTGCACACTGGCGGGAGCGCCGCGGAACCCAGAGCTCCTTACCGCAGGGTGTGCGTTTTGACTCCGATATTTGAAATAAGTTGGGAAACTAAAGCAACGGTGCGTCCTAGTGGGGCTCCGAGCCTGGGCGCTGACCGGCTGCATGCACTCCTCCAACTGTGCACAACACGCCGCGGGGGCTGCCGGCGAGAAGCCTGCGTTAACGTTTATCTCGTGGCGGTGAAGCCCACACCCACACCTCAGAGGGCTGGAGAGGGAGCTTCCGTGGGTAAATAAATGATGGGGCCCGGCAACACATTCTCCCGCATGGAAACCCCACAGACAGTGCATTTTAAACCTTAAATGTGGATTATCGTATGAGTGTCGGTGTGGAGTTTAAATTCCGTTTTAAGAAGGTGGATACGGGGTGTTTGTGTGGGTGTCTGTGCGTACAGCCACGTGGGAGCGGACACAGGATGCCAGCATTACAGGGGTCCCTTGTGTGGAATGTCCTCCTCTCGGCGGTAAAATTAGGAGTGACTCCTTCAGCTTCCCCAAACTGGCCCCCGCAACTACCCCGCCTCGGATCGTCAGGGGTTAACCAAAGCCGATTCCAAGGACAAATACCACCCGCCCCCTCCTCCCCAGCCCCCCCACCCCGTCAGTCACCTCCACCTCCACCCTCGCTTCCGACTCCGGCCAAGCCCCCAAGCCTTCCCCGGGACCCCCCACCCCGCAGCCCACCCACCGGAGCGCCGCAGCTCCTTACCTGAGGGGCCCGGCCGCGTCGGGCCTCCCAAGGGCGCTGCGGGTGTCAGCCGGCCCTACGCACGTGTCCGCGGCGGCGCGGAGCAGGTAACCCGCTCGCAGGAAGAAGTTACCAGCGTTCTCTCCCGCGAGGGGGTGGGCACAGCGGCGGAGGGCGGAGGGACGGCGGAGGGCGCCGCCCGCGCCGCTCGCTGGGGGCGGACGGGGGCCGCTCGGCTCCGGCCGGAGCTCGGGGCCCGAGCCGGGGAGGCAGCGGGGGCGGAGGCGGGGGTCCGCGAGGCCGACTTTGCCGGAGACCCACCCCGCGGCGCGTTTGGGGGCCCGCTGCGCAGTGGCGAGCAAGTGTGCAAATTAAAGCCTTCCGGAGAGAGGAGAGGCGGCCGAGACCCGGCTGTGCTCTGAGCCTCCCAGCTCCCCACCTCTAGGCTCCGAGTGGGGGGCTAAAAGAAGGGGGGGAGCTAAATGAAAATTTCCGGCTTTCGCTGCAACTGGAGTGGGGGATCTTGAGACAAATGTGTGAGAGGCAGAGTGGGATGTGTCGTCGGGAGTCGGCGGAGTTTCCAGACCCAGGGTCGCCCAGAGTTGGGGTTTTGACAGAGTGAGGTGGGGGTATCATTAGTCTGTGATGTGGACGGCTGGGGAAAACACGGAACAACTAACCATAATTACGAGAGCCCGATGGGGATGGTAAATACCAACACTTTCCAAGAAACTGAAAAATCAGACCAAAAACTAACTCTTCTTTATTAAAAGAAAAAAAAAAAAGTCTGGCAGGACGCCTTGAAGAAAAGAAAATACTAATCTGTCCAAGCACTTTTCACTTTCAGCATGAGCTACGTTTGTTTTGTTTTCCTTCGCTTCCTTTCGGCCTCACAAAGCCCTATCTTTTCCTTTTGGACAGAGGATATGATTTGGAAATTGTCAGGCACTCTGTGGTTAACGATCTACCTAAAAGGTCTGGTCGGTTCACAATTATTAAGTGGTTAGCAACTGCTGAGGGTTCACCAAGGTATTTCTGAGGAGCTGAAAAGACTAAAATTTAGTGTAAATAACAGAACTGCAAGATAATAGACACCCACATACACAAACACCGCCTCACCCCCCCCCCCCACACACACACAAAGAGAGGAGAGAATGTGACTCCGTGGATGCCCAGTTTAATCGCATTATTGGAATTCTGAAATGTGAAACCTAAGAATGTATACTTTACCTGCTGAGAAAACCTGAATACAATTATTTCAGGTGAAAATGAGATTTTGGAGGGGGAAAAAAAGTCTTCAAGAGTTTCTACACTAGAGTAAAACAAAACTTTAAATTGCTGGGTTTTTTAAAAAAGAATTCAGTGTTCTCCAGTAATCTGTTGAATACTTGAAACCCTTTTTTAAAAAAGCTTAAAAGAATTTATTTCAATGCTCTGTGGAAAAATTAAAACCCAGCAAAATTCAGGTCAATTGGAAATAACTGCCTCTATAAATATTTTGACTTTTGAATTAAACCATATTGCTAATTTCACAATAGATCAAAATTTTGCCTTTATACTTCTATACTATAGTTTTATTTGCATTTCCATTAGCAAATATTTTGCAATGCATTACAATAATTTATTCTTAAATGATGCAAGTGAATAATTGTTTATGCTTAAAATAATTCATAAAATAGTTTGTGTTTAAGAACATATCTTCTAAAATCCAATTTCTGAATAAAATTTGTGTTTGTAAAGGTATCTATATTCTCATATACTTTATAGACTGAAGTAAGCAAATCGTTAGATTTTGTACTTAAATAAAATATTGGATCACTACAAATTACTAATTAGACTTTAAGCCAGAGGCACAAGTGGGAATACTTCGTTTCTGATAATTGTTTACACTTATCAATGCTTTTTAAAACAAGATTTACTTGCTGATAACTATTATGTTTATATAATTCAGAAATAATTGTCAGTAAATAGTCATAGGAACCAGCAAATGAGTGCAAGAACTTATTTGAGTAAATAAATTGTTTAAAAAATAGTAAGCTATAAATACCTTAATAATTAACAGAAAAATGTCTTTTTTACAGTAGGTTATACTTTTAATTACTGAATTTGACAACAACCATAGGTGAATTAGAAATTCCATGATTTAGGGGACTAGATCACTTGGACAAGGTAAAAAACAAACTTTATTTAATTATATATGCTAATACTTAGTTGAGAGTTAACACTCTTTTTGTCATCTGCTTTATTAATATTGTTAATCTGTCATTATTCATTCTCCCTGGTTATAGTTCACATGAAATCCCAGTTGGTTAACGCTTCAGACCAGGAAGTTTTACAATGGGTTGTGTAAAATTAGTAAATACCAGATTGTTTTTGTTTATGGATAACTTCCTCTCTGAGTAACAGGTTATCATAACAACATTTCTTCAAAGTTTATAACTGTGAACCAAATTCCGACTCCTTTGTTTAGGTAGGAGTCTACTATGAATGAATATATAGCATTCAAGAATAATTATTTGCACCAGTATTTTCATACCACATATCAGATATTCTAATGTTGCAAACCATCTTAGAGGTTTTTAAAAATTAGCATCATGGATTTATTTCAAAATATGATGTTGTAGCTTACAGTGAAAATTCTCCTAATGTCCTAAGAGATGTATTCTATGTGTGAACATTTTATAGCAAATATCTGTAAATTTTTGTTTTCACTAAAATAAAATGTAAAATTCTAGTCTATATTTATAACCTTGTTTAAGAAATGAGTAATTTATTTAAAATCAGCAATTATATAATATACATCCAATTCTAAATCATCTCTAGTTTATATTGTCTATTTGAATTTATAAAATGCATTTTCCAGAAACTCAGAAATAAGGTTTTCTATAATCTGCTACACAATGTTAATCAGAGGTCCATGTAAATTCATACTTTTTTGTCTATAAAGTTCTCCTGTTTATTGTTTTGATAAAAAATTCTGTTTAATAACTTTGAAATTAGTTATCCTCATCTCTAACTTGATTTATATATATGCAATGTTATCTTTGCTGAGTAATTACCATGAAAAAGTATAATTTTAACAGAAATAGTGTGATATAATGCAGTGTATTTTAATGCATTGTATTCTCCACCCCCAAGGCATTTCCAAGATATTTTCTCGGGTTTTCCTTAAAAAACTGAAAATTTGCTAAATATCCAAGGAAAAATCAATTGCATTATCAACTTTTTTAAATTGTAAAATTCTGAACTTTAAATTATTTTTTTAGTTCATCTTCTAAATAAATTCGTTCCCATCAATTTGGAATTCACCTGTGTTTTTCTCTTTTTGTTGTTACATGTGATCTAGTGAAACCT